GAATATTGTGTATAGGTTTCATAATGTTTGGTTGGGGCAAACTTAAGTTACAGAATGGAAACTCAAAATTTTGCAATCTTTCGATTTATAAAGGGGCATAACTCAATAATGGTTAAAGTGATACTACCCAAATTCAACTTGAACTGTGTTTTATCAGTGGAAGTCAAAATTAAACATTGCATTGTATAAAGCATTGATTGTAGCTGAATCAACTATAATCATGGACAAAGGAAGATAACTCCAATTTTAATAATTACTTAATATTTAGAAGAAAAATAAAAATTTTGCAATTTTTCCATTTATAAAGGGGCATAACTCTAGAACGGTTAAAGTGACGACACCAAAATTCAAACTTGATCTGTGTTTTGTGATAATAAGCATAGAGTATAAGTTTCATAACATTTGGTTGAGGCAAACTTAAGTTAGAGAACGGAAACTAAAAATGTTGCAGTTTTTCCATTTATAAAGGGGCATAACTCTAGAACGGTTAAAGTAACGCCACCAAATATCAAACTTGATCTGTGTTTTGTGATAATAAACATTGTGTATAAGTTTCATAACATTTGGTTGAGGCAAACTCAAGTTAGAGAACAGAAACCAATTTTGGGACGTACGGACGTACGTACGTACGTACGTACGAACAGATGGACAAGGGTAAAACTTAATGCCCCCACCGCTACGGCGGGGGCATAATAAATGATTTTATTAACTACAAACACAGTAGACAATTGTAATTTATTCAGTCATACATTATCTTAACAGGTATACACAACAATAGCACTTTTGTTTAAATAGTAAACTTAATATCATACTTCACACTGATCAAGTTTGTCACAACTTGAATATTTCTTCATCGAAATGAGCTACTATGTATTAATATGTGATAAATATGACATATATTTGATAGCAGTATATTTGCATGTGTGATTTTGTTTTTATTTATGATAACAAGGCAACCATAACTTTTATAACAATAAGATCTATTCTTTGTCCATCAATGCATATAGTTACATGTCCTTTGTAAAGTGTTCAACAAATTAAAGTTCAAAATAATATTAGCCAGGACTTTCTGCTGAGTTTTCATCAAATGGGAAAAAATCAATTTACAAAAAAAGGCAGTAGTTGTGTCTTCATCAAGAGCAATTAAATGTGGAATGTGTCCATGGGACACAGATAATGCCCTCTCTCGCATATCATATAAACATATGGGACATAACTGCAGAACGGTACAGGTGACGCTACCCAATTTGTACTTGATCTGAGTTTTGTGGTAATAAGCATTGTGTATAAGTTTCATAACATTTGTAAGAGGCAAACTAAAGTTAGAGAACGGAAACGAAAAATTCAGCAATTTTTATGTTTATAAAGGAGCATAACTCAAGAACAGTAAAAGTGACACCAACCAATTTCAAACTTGATCTGTATTATGTGGTAATAAGCATTGTGTAAAAGTTTCATAACATTTGGTTGAGGCAAACTAAAGTTGAAGAAAGGAAACAAAAAATTCAACAATTTTTATGTTTATAAAGGGGCATTACTCAAGAACGATAAAAGTGATACCACCCAATTTCGAACTTGATCTGTATTATGTGGCAATAAGCATTATGTATAAGTTTCATAACATTTAGTTGAGGCAAACTAAAGTTAGAGAACGGAAACGAAAAACTCAACAATCTTTATGTTTATAAAGGGGCATAACTCAAAAACCGTTATCGTGATGCCACCCAATTTCAATATTGATCTGTATTATGTGGTAATAAGCATTGTGTATAAGTTTCATAACATTTGGTTTAGGCAAACTAAAGTTAGAGAACGGAAACAAAATATTCAGCAATTTTTATGTTTATAAAGGGGCATAACTAAAGAAAGGTAAGAGTGATGCCACCCAATTTCGAACTTGATCTGTATTAAGTGGTAATAAGCATTGTGTATAAGTTTCATAACAATTAGTTGAGGCAAACTAAAGTTAGAGAACAGAAACGAAAAAATTAATCAATCTTTATGTTTATAAAGGGGCATAACTCAAGAACCATTATTGTGACAGCACCCAATTTCAAACTTGATCTGTGTTCTGTGGTAATAAGCATAGTGTATAAGTTTCATAACATTTGGTTGAGGCAAACTAAAGTTAGAGAACGGAAACCAACTTTGGGACGTACGGACGTATGGACGTAAGGACAAGGGTAAAACTTAATGCCCCCTCCGCTACGGCGGTGGCATAAAAATGTGTAGCTTAATTTCTATCTTAAGTTATTAATGTAAACTATATAAAGATTCAAAATGCATAATTCAAGACACAACTTAAAATCGGATATTAATTTACTTTTGAATAAAATGCTCCGCAGGGCGCAGCTTGATACGACCGCAGAGGTCGAACCCTGAACAGTTGGGGCAAGTATGGACACAACATTCAAGCTTGATACAGCTTTGCATTTGGATTGTGATTAAATATTTGACACAGCATAGGTTTCTGACACAGAATGAATGTGGTCTAAGAACTTAAAAATTTTAAATTGGACATTCACCTATTATGGTCCAATATCCAAAATCTAAATACATGGTTAGATTCAGCATAGCAAAGATCCCAAAGAATTCAATTTTTGATGAAATCAAACAAAGTTTAATTTTGGACCCTTTTGACCTCAATGTGGACAAAGTTGATGACGGGGCCCAAAAATCAAAAATCTAAATACATGGTTAGATTCAGCATATCAAAGAACCCCATATATTCAATTTTTGTTGAAATCAAACAAAGTTTAATTTTGGACCCCGATTTGGACCAACTTGAAAACTGGGCCCATAATCAAAAATCTAAATACATGTTTAGATTCAGCATATCAAAGAACCCTAAGAATTCAATTTTTGTTAAAATCAAACTAAGTTTAATTTTGGACCCTTTGGACCTTAATGTAGACCAATTTGAAAACGGAACCAAAAATTAAGAATCTAAATACACGGTTAGATTCGGCATATCAAAGAACCCCAACAGTTCAATTTTTGATGAAATCAAACAAAGTTTTATTTTGGACCCTTTGGACCTCAATGTGGACCAATTTAAAAAAGAATAAAACCCCATTGAAATTGGTCAAGAAATAAGCAATTTATACGAAGTATCTTCTTTTGCACAATACTGTGCAATTAAATATTTCTTGCTATTGCGCATTACTGTACAATTGACAATTTCTTGCTATTGCCCAATATTGTGCTATTGGATATTTCTTGCTATTGCGCAATACTGTGCAATTGAAGATTTCTTGCTATTGCGCAATACTGTGCAATTGAAGATTTCTTGCTATTGTGCAATACTGTGCAATTGAAAATTTCTTGCTATTGCACAATACTTATTATATAATTATTTACACATCCTGTTTGGTGTGTATCTCCTACCATATCATTATTATTTGTTTTTAAATATAAATCAGAAATAACCAACTTAAAATGGAAAATTTTAAAAGAAAAAAAAAAGGAAAAAAAGAAAAAAAAGGAAACCCCCCCCCCCCCCCCCAAATTTTTTAAACCCCCTTATGATTCATCACCCCCAAACTCAATCCCAGCCTTCCCTTTGTGGTATGGTACAATTTCAGAGAGATCCATACACTTGAACACAAGTTATTGTCTGGAAACTAGAAAAATGTGTTTTTTGGCCCCTTTTTGGCCCCATATTCCTAAACGTTTAGGGCAATTACCCCCAAACTCAAACCCAGCTTTCCCTTTGTGATATGGAACCTTGTAGTACAATTTCAGAAAGATCCATACACTTACACACAAGTTATTGTCCTGAAACTAGAAAAATGCTTGTTTTTTGCCCCTTTTTGGCCCCTAATTCCTAAAATATTGAGGCAATTACCCCCATCATCAATCCCAGCCTTCCCTTTGTGGTATGGTGCCTTGCGGTACAATTTCAGAGAGATCCATACACTTGAACACAAGTTATTATCTGGAAACTAGAAAAATGCTTATTTTTGGCCCCTTTTTGGCCCCCAATTCCTAAAATATTGAGGCAATTACCCCCATCATCAATCCCAGCCTTCCCTTTGTGGTATGGTGCCTTGCAGTACAATTTCAGAGAGATCAATACACTTGAACACAAGTTATTATCTGGAAACTAGAAAAATGCTTATTTTTGGCCCCTTTTTGGCCCCCAATTCCTAAACGTTTCGGCAATTACCCCCAAACTCAATTCCAGCTTTCCCTTTGTGATATGGAACCTTGTAGTACAATTTCAGAAAGATCCATACACTTACACACAAGTTATTGTCATGAAACTAGAAAAATGCTTGTTTTTTGCCCCGTTTTTGGCCCCTAATTCCTAAAATTTTGAGGCAATTACCCCCAAAATCAATCCCAGCCTTCCCTTTGTGGTATGGTGCCTTGCAGTACAATTTCAGAGAGATCCATACACTTGAACACAAGTTATTATCTGGAAACTAGAAAAATGCTTATTTTTGGCCCCTTTTTGGCCCCCAATTCCTAAACGTTTCGGCAATTACCCCCAAACTCAATTCCAGCTTTCCCTTTGTGATATGGAACCTTGTAGTACAATTTCAGAAAGATCCATACACTTACACACAAGTTATTGTCATGAAACTAGAAAAATGCTTGTTTTTTGCCCCTTTTTTGGCCCCTAATTCCTAAAATTTTGAGGCAATTACCCCCAAAATCAATCCCAGCATTCCTTTTGTGATATGGAACCTTGTGGTACAATGTCAAAGAGATCCATACACTAACACACAAGTTATGTCTGGAAGTTACAAAAATGCTTATTTTTGGCCCCTAATTCCTTTACTGTTGGTACCATAACCCCCAAAATCAATCCCAACCTTCCTTTTGTGGTATTGAACCTTGTGGTAAAATTTCATAGAGATCCATTCACTTAAACTAAAGTTAGAGTGCGAAAACCAATGTGTCTTCGGACGACGCAGGACGACGCCAGACGACGACGACGACGACGCCAACGTCATACCAATATACGACCACAAAAATTTTTTTGCGGTCGTATAAAAACATGATAACATATATTGTATGATTGCCAACGAGACAACTATCCACCAATTGATATACATGTAAGCAACTATAGGTCACTGTGCAGCCTTCAACAATGAGCAGAACTGATTATCATTTTGTATGGCTTACTATCAATGTTCTCAAATAGAAAAGCTTAAAAAAAACTTGTATATAAAATCATAATTAAACATATAAACATGGAATATTAGTTCTAAACAAAGGTTAAAGAGTAAAAATGTATAGAACACTTCAATTTCACAAATAAAATCTAAATCACCATTTCACAAATTACATAATGTATTTTTATTTGATATTTTATCTTGCATGGAAGACATCTCACCAATATGCATCTTATTCTAGGAGCAGAAGGTAGTTATGTTACCTTCATCACTCAAAGAAGAAAATATTTTAATGTAACAAACCTTGGATATATGATATCATACATGTACTTTTGAGATTTGTATCTCAACTATGTAGAAGCAAGATCCATATACAATAATAAAATTTATGATCCAGACTTAAATTCACATAATTTGCCTTAAACACTACCAAATATGACTAATGTTTAAGATTATTGTATACTCTCATTGCATCATGAATAACAATTAAATATCATCAGTTTGACAGGACAAGACTTTTTACACATACAGTGACATTATTTGCAAGAGATATCATAATTAATCAACAGTAAAGCCATGACAATAGTGTTCCAGACATTTGCAACACATAAATCTTTTGATTACATGTCCTATTCCGTCTGTTATTTCATCTCTGGGTGGATAGTTTCATGTATAACATTATGGTGGTTCCTTGTAGCAAATTCTTTTCTTCCATTATGTAGCGCTAAGATTCTGCTGATTGGTTGAGTGGGTTATCAGGTGACTTCATCCAATCTTTCCACAACATATGTTTTAATTGTGATAATTTCATACTTGGGTTCTCCTGTTTTAATATAGGTAGGTTAGTGTCTTCATATTTTTTATAGGCAGCTTTCATTCTCTTTTCTGGATGGTGATCAACTGCAGCTTCTTTTTCACTGAAAACAACAATCATATCACTACCAAACAACTGTCAATAAATGTGCTATTATGTTGCAATGCAGTCCAAAACGCATCATTTAATAAAACTGTGAAAATTTACTTATCCTAAGAGGCAGACTGTTTTACTTTTAAAACAAAACTAGTTTCTTTTTTCACAAGAACTTGAAAAGGTTAAATAAATGACCTTTATTATACTTCCAATTGAACGATGCCAGAGATCAAATCGGACTTTAAAGCAGGGTTCTCACTATGATAAGCCTATGACTCCCGAACTTATCTTTAAAAATAAGTCTACATGTTTTTGTATATTTTTTAATCATGAAACAGTTGGTTTTCTAGAACATGTTTGCCTCATCAAATCAAAAGGACTGCTTACATTCAGTATAATGATATCAACAAATATAATGCCTGCCAATGTTTCAATGAGCATTGAGCATGACAGGAAAGATATATTTCTTCATGTTTATATGAAAAAGAAAATGAAAATGTATAACTTCATTCAAGTATAAAGATATTGAGTATTCTAACATTCTGATTTTTTTGTCAGATTTCATAAAGATCTTCTAAGTTCTACTAACAATAAAATGCTTCGCTGAGTGCAGCCTGATACGACCGCAGAGGTTGAACCCTGAACAGTTGGTACAAATTTGGACACAATATTCAAGCTTGATACTGTCTGAATTTGGATTGTGATCAAATTTTTGACATAATATAGATTTCTGACACAAAATAAATGTGGTCAAAGATCCTACAAATCTATTGCGTAATACTGTGCAATTGAAGATTTCTTCTTGAAACTTTTCAAAAATTCAAAATTTGAAAATTTTGAAAAAAAATAATGAATCCTTTAAAAAGATTGGAAAAAAAAATCCCCAAAACTTTTTGAAACCCCCCTTGGAGCAATAACCCCAAAACTCGATCCCAGCCTTTCCTTTGTAGTATGGAACCAGACTGAAGTTGAAGTTGTAGTACAATTTCAGAGATTTCCATACACTTAAACACAAGTTATTGTCTGGAAACTATAAAAATGCTTGTTTTTGGCCCTTTTTTGGCCCCGTATTCCTACATAATTAGGCAATTAACCCCAAACTCAATCCTATACTTTCCCTTTGTGATATGGAACCTTGTGGTACAATGTCAGAGAGATCCATACAATTACACACAAGTAATTGTCTGGAAACTAGAAAAATGCTTGTTTTTGGCTCTTAATTCCTAAACTGTTGGCCCCATAACCCCTAAAATAAATCCCAACCTTCTACTTGTGGTATTAAACATTGTCGTACAATTTCAGAGCAATCGAAATACTTATACACAAGTTATTATCCTGAAACTAGAAAAATGCTTGTTTTGGGCCCCTTTGGGGCCCCTAATTCCTAAACGGTTGTGACCATCATCCCAAAAATCAATCCCAACCTTCCTTTTATGGTATTGAACCTTCTTTAAAAATTTCATAGAGATCCATTCACTTAAACTTAAGTAATTGTCCGGAAACCAATGTGTCTTCGGACGACGACGACGACATCATACCATTATACGATCCAAAAAAAATGTTTGCGATCGTATAAAAAGACGATATTGTACTTATGTTACACTAATTTATTATATATTCATAGATATGAAATCCTCAATAAAATTGCATAATATTGATTAATTAAATAATTATTGTAATTTGAAAATTTGAAAAGAAACAAACTAGGTTGACAGCTACTTTGTAAATAAAAATATGGCAGGCAATGTAAACAAACAGCTGGGAAATGACATTGTCTCTAATTTCTTGCTTGTAGTATTATATTACACTCTACCTGGTAATTTGAATTATGTCCAGTGAAAAAGTGTACAATTCACGTTTTGTATGGTATTTAATGGAAAATATAATTTATAAAATAATGAAGCCTATGATCTGATAAACACAAAATTAAAGAATTTCCATATAATACTACACACCTTAAAACTGATAAAGCAGCTTCAACACTTCTTGCTTCACCCTCTAACTGTAGTTTGTTTAGATTTTCCTCCAATGGTTTATCCAAATGTGTTTCTTCTTTTTCTTTCTCTGCTGCAGCTAAAACAACAATATATTGTCTAGATTACATGAGAACTAATTTAAAACAATGCTTGCTAAAACCAAGAAATATATACAATGGAACACATAATAAATAAAGTGCTCCGCTGGGCGCAGTTTGATACGACCACAGAGGTCAAACCCTGAACAGTTGGGGCAAGTATGGACACAACATTCAAGCTTGATACAGCACTGAATTTGGATTGTGATTAAATATTTGACACAGCATAGGTTTCTGACACAGAATGAATGTGGTCTAAGAACTTAAAAATTTTAAATTTACCTATTCAAACCATATCATTATTATTTGCTTTTATATATAAATCAGAAATAACCAATTTAAAATGGAAAATTTTAAAGAAAAAAAAAGGAAAAAAAGGAAAATAAAATCCCCCCTCCCCAATTTTTTTTGAACCCCCTTATGATTCAGCACCCCCAAACTCAATCCCAGCCTTCCCTTTATGGTATGGTACCTTGCAGTACAATTTCAGAGAGATCCATACACTTGAACACAAGTTATTGTCTGGAAACTAGAATAAAATGCTTCGCTGGGCGCAGCTTTATACGACCGCAGAGGTCGAACCCTGAACAGTTGGGGCAAGTATGGAAACAACATTCAAGCTTGATACAGCTCTGAATTTGGATTGTGATTAAATATTTGACACAGCATAGGTTTCTGACACAGAAAGAATGTGGTCTAAGAATTTCAATTTTTTTAATTTACCTATTATGGTCCAATGTCCAAAATCAAAATACATGGTTAGATTCAGCATATCAAAGAACCCCATATATTCAATTTTTGTTGAAATCAAACAAAGTTTAATTTTGGACCCCAACTTGGACAAACTTGAAAACTGGTCCCATAATCAAAAATCTAAACACATGTTTAGATTCAGCATATCAAAGTACCCCAAGAATTCAATTTTTGTTAAAATCAAACTAAGTTTAATTTTGGACCCTTTGGACCTTAATGTAGACCAATTAAAAAAAACGGGACCCAAAACAAAAAATCTAAAAACACGGTTAGATTTGGCATATCACAGAACCCCAATAATTCAATTTTTTATGAAATCAAACAAAGTTTAATTTTGGACCCTTTTGACCTCAATATAAACCAATTTGATAGCGGGCCCACAAATAAAAAATCTAAATACATGGTAAGATTCAGCATATCAAAGAACCCCATATATTCAATTTTTGTTGAAATCAAACAAAGTTTAATTTTGGACCCCAATTTGGACCAACTTGAAAACTGGGCCAAAAATCTAAAATCTAAATACATGTTTAGATTCAGCATATCAAAGAACCCCATATATTCAATTTTTGTTGAAATCAAACAAATTTAATTTTGGACCCCAACTTGGACCAACTTGAAAACTGGTCCCATAATCAAAAATCTAAACACATGTTTAGATTCAGCATATCAAAGAACCCCAAAAATTCAATTTTTGTTAAAATCAAACTAAGTTTAATTTTGGACCCTTTGGACCTTAATGTAGACCAATTCAAATAAAATGCTCCGCAGGGCGCAGCTTGATACGACCGCAGAGGTCGAACCCTGAACAGTTGGGGCAAGTATGGACACAACATTCAAGCTTGATACAGCTTTGCATTTGGATTGTGATTAAATATTTGACACAGCATAGGTTTCTAACACAGAATGAATGTGATCTAAGAACTTAAAAATTTTAAATTGGACATTCACCTATTATGGTCCAATATCCAAAACCTAAATACATGGTTAGATGCAGCATATCAAAGAACCCCAAGAATTCAATTTTTGATGAAATCAAACAAAGTTTAATTTTGGACCCTTTTGACCTCAATGTGGACAAAGTTGATAACGGGGCCCAAAAATCAAAAATCTAAATACATGGTTAGATTCAGCATATCAAAGAACCCCATATATTCAATTTTTGTTGAAATCAAACAAAGTTTAATTTTGGACCCCGATTTGGACCAACTTGAAAACTGGGCCCATAATCAAAAATCTAAATACATGTTTTGATTCAGCATATCAAAGAACCCTAAGAATTCAATTTTTGTTAAAATCAAACTAAGTTTAATTTTGGACCCTTTGGACCTTAATGTAGACCAATTTGAAAACGGAACCAAAAATTAAGAATCTAAATACACGGTTAGATTCGGCATATCAAAGAACCCCAATAATTCAATTTTAGATGAAATCAAACAAAGTTTAATTTTGGACCCTTTGGACCTCAATGTGGACCAATTTAAAAACGGGGCCCAAAATCCAATAAAACGCTTCGCTGGGCGCAGCTTGATACGACCGCAGAGGTCCAACCCTGAACAGTTGGGGCAAGTATGGACACAACATTCAAGCTTGATACAGCTCTGAATTTGGATTGTGATTAAATATTTGACACAGCATAGGTTTCTGACACAGAAAGAATGTGGTCTAAGAACTTCAATTTTTTTAATTTACCTATTATGGTCCAATGTCCAAAATCAAAATACATGGTTAGATTCAGCATATCAAAGAACCCCATATATTCAATTTTTGTTGAAAATAAACAAAGTTTAATTTTGGACCCCAACTTGGACAATCTTGAAAACTGGTCCCATAATCAAAAATCTAAACACATGTTTAGATTCAGCATATCAAGGTACCCCAAGAATTCAATTTTTGTTAAAATCAAACTAAGTTTAATTTTGGACCCTTTGGACCTTTATGTAGACCAATTTAAAAAACGGGACCCAAAATTAAAAATCTAAAAACATGGTTAGATTTGGCATATCAAAGAACCCCAATGATTCAATTTTTGATGAAATCAAACAAAGTTTAATTTTGGACCCTTTTGACCTCAATATGAACCAATTTCATAGCAGGCCCACAAATAAAAAATCTAAATACATGGTAAGATTCAGCATATCAAAGAAACCCCATATATTCAATTTTTGTTGAAATCAAACAAAGTTTAATTTTGGACCCCAATTTGGACCAACTTGAAAACTGGGCCAAAAATCTAAAATCTAAATACATGTTTAGATTCAGCATATCAAAGAACCCCATATATTCAATTTTTGTTGAAATCAAACAAAGTTTAATTTTGGACCCCAACTTTGAACAACTTGAAAACTGGTCCCATAATCAAAAATCTAAACACATGTTTAGATTCAGCATATCAAAGAACCCCTTAAATTCGATTTTTGTTAAAATCAAACTAAGTTTAATTTTGGACCCTTTGGACCTTAATGTAGACCAATTTAAAAAACGGGACCCAAAATTAAAAATCTATATACACGGTTAGATTTGGCATATCAAAGAACCCCAATAATTCAATTTTTGATGAAATCAAACAAAGTTTAATTTTGGACCCTTTTGACCTCAATATGAACCAATTTGATAGCGGGCCCACAAATAAAAAATCTAAATACATGGTAAGATTCAGCATATCAAAGAACCCCATATATTCAATTTTTGTTGAAATCAAACGAAGTTTAATTTTGGACCCCAATTTGTACAAACTTTAAAACTGGGCCAAAAATCTAAAATCTAAATACATGTTTAGATTCAGCATATCAAAGAACCCCATATATTCAATTTTTGTTGAAATCAAACAAAGTTTAATTTTGGACCCCAACTTGGACCAACTTGAAAACTGGGGCCATAATCAATAAAATGCTTCGCTGGGGCGCAGCTTGATACGACCGCAGAGGTCGAACCCTGAACAGTTGGGGCAAGTATGGACACAACATTCAAGCTTGATACAGCTCTGAATTTGGATTGTTATTAAATATTTGACACAGCATAGGTTTCTGACACAGAAAGAATGTGGTCTAAGAACTTGATTCTTTTTAATTTACCTATTATGGTCCAATGACCAAAATCAAAATACATGGTTAGATTCAGCATATCAAAGAACCCCATATATTCAATTTTTGTTAAAATCAAATAAAGTTTAATTTTGGACCCCAACTTGGACCAACTTGAAAACTGGGACCATAATCAAAAATCTAAACACATGTTTAGATTCAGCATATCAAAGAACCCCAAGAATTCAATTTTTCTTAAAATCAAACTAAGTTTAATTTTGGACCCTTTAGACCTCAATGAAGACCAATTTAAAAAACGGGACCCAAATTAAAAATCTAAAAACACAGTTAGATTTGGCATATCGAAGAACCCCAATAATTCAATTTTTGATGAAATCAAACAAAGTTTAATTTTGGACCCTTTTGACCTCAATATGAACCAATTTGATAGCGGGGCCCACAAATAAAAAATCTAAATACATGGTTAGATTCAGCATATCAAAGAACCTCATATATTCAATTTTTGTTGAAATCAAACAAAGTTTAATTTTGGACCCCAATTTGGACCAACTTGAAAACTGGGCCCATAATCAAAAATATAAATACATGTTTAGATTCAGCATATCAAAGAACCCCATATATTCAATTTTTGTTGAAATCAAACAAAGTTTAAATACTGGACCCTATCTTGGACCAACTTGAAAACTGGGCCCATAATCAAAAATCTAAACACATGTTTAGATTCAGCATATCAAAGAACCCCAAGAATTCAATTTTTGTTAAAATCAAACTAAGTTTAATTTTGGACCCTTTGGACCTTAATGTAGACCAATTTAAAAAACAGGACCCAAAATTAAAAATCTAAATACACGGTTAGATTTGGAATTTTCAAAGAACCCCAATAATTCAATTTTAGATGAAATCAAACAAAGTTTAATTTTGGACCCTTTTGACCTCAATATGAACCAATTTGATAACGGGGTCCACAAATAAAAAATCTAAATACATGGTTAGATTCAGCATATCAAAGAACCCCATATATTCAATTTTTGTTGAAATCAAACAAAGTTTAATTTTGGACCCCAATTTGGACCAACTTGAAAACTGGGCCAAAAATCAAAAATCTAAATACATGTTTAGATTCAGCATATCAAAGAACCTCATATATTCAATTTTTGCTAAAATCAAACAAAGTTTAATTTTGGACCCTTTGGACCTTAATGTAGACCAATTTGAAAACTGGACCCAAAATTAAAAATCTAAATACACTGTTAGATTCGGCATAACAAATAAATAAATGTGATCAAAGATTTTACAAATCTAATGCGCCATACTGTGCAATTAAAGATTACTTCTTGAAATTTTTCAATATTTGAAATTTGAAAAAAAAAAAATATTTGAAGAATAATTCTTTTTAATTTCTGAAATCTGAAATGAGAAAAAATTGACCCCCCACAATTTCTTTTTATCCCCCTCCCCTTTTTTTTCCCCAAAAAAATTCTTTCCCTCAAGATATGGTCATAATCTCAATTCAAATTTCCAATGGAGTTGGCAACCATAATTACCCATTTAAATTTACCATAGTGCTAACTTAATCTATTTTATAATAGAATTAATAAAATGCTTCGCTGGGCGCAGCTTGATACGACCGCAGAGGTCGAACCCTGAACAGTTGGGGCAAGTATGAACACAACATTCAAGCTTGATACAGCTCTGAATTTGGATTGTGATTAAATATTTGACACAGCATAGGTTTCTGACACAGAATGTGGTCTAAGAACTTCAATTTTTTTAATTTACCTATTATGGTCCACTGTCCAAAATCAAAATACATGGTTAGATTCAGCATATCAAAGAACCCCATATATTCAATTTTTGTTGAAATCAAACAAAGTTTAATTTTGGACCCCAACTTGGACAAACTTGAAAACTGGTCCCATAATCAAAAATCTAAACACATGTTTAGATTCAGCATATCAAAGTACCCGAAGAATTCAATTTTTGTTAAAATCAAACTAAGTTTAATTTTGGACCCTTTGGACCTTAATGTAGACAAATTTAAAAAACGGGACCCTAAATTAAAAATCTAAAAACACAGTTAGATTTGGCATATCAAAGAACCCCAATAATTCAATTTTTGATGAAATCAAACAAAGTTTAATTTTGGACCCTTTTGACCTCAATATGAACCAATTTGATAGCGGGCCCACAAATAAAAAATCTAAATACATGGTAAGATTCAGCATATCAAAGAACCCCATATATTCAATTTTTGTTGAAATCAAACAAAGTTTAATTTTGGACCCCAATTTGGACCATCTTGAAAACTGGGCCAAAAATCTAAAATCTAAATACATGTTTAGATTCAGCATATCAAAGAACCCCATATATTCAATTTTTGTTGAAATCAAACAAAGTTTAATTTTGGACCCCAACTTGGACCAACTTGAAAACTGGGCCCATATAAATCAAAAATCTAAATACATGGTTAGATTCAGCATATCAAAGAACCCTAAGAATTCAATTTTTGTTAAAATCAAACTAAGTTTAATTTTGGACCCTTTGGACCTTAATGTAGACAAATTTAAAAAACGGGACCCAAAATTAAAAATCTAAATACATGGTTAGATTCGGCATATCAGAGAACCCCAATAATTCAATTTTTGATGAAATCAAACAAAGTTTAATTTTGGACCCTTTGGACCTCAATGTGGACCAATTCAAAAACGGGGCCCAAAATCCAAAAACTTAATACACTGTTAGATTCAGCATATTAAAGAACCCCAAGAATTCAAGAATAAAACCCCATTGAAATTGATCAAGAAATAAGCAATTTATACGAAGTATCTTCTTTTGCACAATACTGTGCAATTGAATATTTCTTGCTATTGCGCAATACTGTACAATTGACAATTTCTTGCTATTGCGCAATATTGTGCTATTGGATATTTCTTGCTATTGCGCAATACTGTTAAATTGAAGATTTCTTGCTATTGTGCAATACTGTGCAATTGAAAATTTCTTGCCATTGCACAATACTTATTATATAATAATTTACACATCCTGTTTGGTGTGTATCTCCTACCATATCATTATTATTTGCTTTTAAATATAAATCAGAAATAACCAACTTAAAATGGAAAATTTTAAAAGAAAAAAAAAAGGAAAAAAAGAAAAAAAAAAAAAAAAAAAATCCCCCCCCCAAATTTTTTGAACCCCCTTATGATTCATCACCCCCAAACTCAATCCCAGCCTTCCCTTTGTGGTATGGTACCTTGCAGTACAATTTCAGAGAGATCCATACACTTGAACACAAGTTATTGTCTGGAAACTAGAAAAATGCTTATTTTTGGCCCCTTTTTGGCCCCCAATTCCTAAACGTTTCGGGCAATTACCCCCAAACTCAATTCCAGCTTTCCCTTTGTGATATGGAACCTTGTAGTACAATTTCAGAAATATCCAAACACTTACACACAAGTTATTGTCATGAAACTAGAAAAATGCTTGTTTTTTGCCCCTTTTTGGGCCCCTAATTCCTAAAATTTTGAGGCAATTACCCCCAAAATCAATTACAGCCTTCCCTTTGTGATATGGAACCTTGTGGTACAATGTCAGAGAGATCCATACACTTACACACAAGTTATTGTCTGAAAGTTACAAAAATGCTTATTTTTGGCCCCTTTTTGGCCCCTAATTCCTTAACTGTTGGTACCATAACCCCCAAAATCAATCCCAACCTTCCTTTTGTGGTATTGAACCTTATGGTGGAATTTCATGGAGATCCATTCACTTAAACTAAAGTTAGAGTGCGAAAACCAATGTGTCTTCGGACGACGCCGGACGACGCCGGACGACGACGACGACGACGACGACGACGACGACGACGACGACGACGACGACGACGCCAACGTCATACCAATATACGACCAAAAAATTTTTAATTTTTGCGGTCGTATAAAAATGTAGTGTCAAATCTTTCATATGGATTTTTTGGTAAAAAAAAAAGATGCAACATTTGCAGATATTTTTACTGGTCTTCCTTTATAAATATGCATTTCTTTATACATAATTTAAAAGCAGTGTAAGGGAAGTAACCAAAACGTTGTATTTGGATTACCTCCCTTACACTGTTTTAAATTATCTTTATTGTTCATTAACCATTACTTTATACATAATTTAAAAGCAGTGTAAGGGAGATAATTTCAATGATGTATTTGATTTATCTCCCTTACACTGCTTTAAATTATGTTTTGTACTAAAGTATTTGTCCATTAACCAAGACAACCTTGTTTTTCCCCCTTTTTTGCCCCTAATTCCTAAACGGTTTGAGCCATAACCCCCCAAAGCAAATCCTAACCATCCCTTTGTGGTATGGAAACTTGTAGTATAATTTCAGAGAGATCCATACACCGTTCCACAGTTATTGTCTGGAAACTAGAAAATGCTTATTTTTGGCCCCTTTTTGGCCCCTAATCCCTTAACTGTTGGTACCATAACCCCCAAAATCAATCCCAACCTTCCTTTTGTGGTATTTAACCTTATGGTCAAATTTCAAAAAGATCGATACACTTAAACTAAAGTTAGAGTGCGAAAACTAATGCGTCTTCGGACGACGACGCCGGACGACGCCGACGACGACGCCAACGTCATACCAATATACGACCACAAAAATTTTTTTGCGGTCGTATAAAAACTAAATACACGGTTAGATTCAGCATATTAAAGAACCCCAAGAATTCATGAATAAAACCCCATTGAAATTGGTCAAGAAATAAGCAATTTATACGAAGTATCTTCTTTTGCACAATACTGTGCAATTAAATATTTCTTGCTATTGCGCAATACTGTACAATTGACAATTTCTTGCTATTGCGCAATATTGTGCTATTGGATATTTCTTGCTATTGCGCAATACTGTGCAATTGAAGATTTCTTGCTATTGTGCAATACTGTGCAATTGAAGATTTCTTGTTATTGTGCAATACTGTGCAATTGAAAATTTCTTGCTATTGCACAATACTTATTATATAATAATTTACACTTCCTGTTTGGTGTGTATCTCCTACCATATCATTATTATTTGCTTTTAAATATAAATCAGAAATAACCAACTTAAAATGGAAAATTTTAAAAGAAAAAAAAGGAAAAAAAGAAAAAATAAAAGGAAATAAAAAAAATTCCCCCCCAAATTTTTTGAACCCCCTTATGATTCATCACCCCCAAACTCAATCCCAGCCTTCCCTTTGTGGTATGGTACCTTGCAGTACAATTTCAGAGAGATCCATACACTTGAACACAAGTTATTGTCTGGAAACTAGAAAAATGTGTTTTTTGGCCCCTTTTTGGCCCCAAATTCCTAAACGTTTAGGGCAATTACCCCCAAACTCAAACCCAGCTTTCCTTTTGAGATATGGAACCTTGTAGTACAATTTCAGAAAGATCCATACACTTACACACAAGTTATTGTCCTGAAACTAGAAAAATGCTTGTTTTTTGCCCCTTTTTTGCCCCTAATTCCTAAAATATTGAGGCAATTACCCTCATCATCAATCCCAGCCTTCCCTTTGTGGTATGGTACCTTGTAGTACAATTTCAGAGAGATCCATACACTTGAACACAAGTTATTGTCTGGAAACTAGAAAAATGCTTATTTTTGGCCCCTTTTTGGCCCCCAATTCCTAAACGTTTCGGCAATTACCCCCAAACTCAATTCCAGCTTTCCCTTTGTGATATGGAACCTTGTAGTACAATTTCAGAAAGATCCATACACTTACACACAAGTTATTGTCATGAAACTAGAAAAATGCTTGTTTTTTGCCCCTTTTTTGGCCCCTAATTCCTAAATTTTTGAGGCAATTACCCCCAAAATCAATCCCAGCATTCCTTTTGTGATATGGAACCTTGTGGTACAATGTCAGAGAGATCCATACACTAACACACAAGTTATGTCTGGAAGTTACAAAAATGCTTATTTTTGGCCCCTTTTTGGCCCCTAATTCCTTTACTGTTGGTACCATAACCCCCAAAATCAATCCCAACCTTCCTTTTGTGGTATTGAACCTTGTGGTAAAATTTCATAGAGATCAATTCACTTAAACTAAAGTTAGAGTGCGAAAACCAATGTGTCTTTGGACGACGCCAGACGACGACGACGATGACGATGCCAACGTCATACCAATATACGACCACAAAAATTTTTTTGCATTCGTATAAAAACGGGACCCAAAATTAAAAATCTAAATACACGGTTAGATTTGGCATATCAAAGAACCCCAATAATTCAATTTTTGATGAAATCAAACAAAGTTTAATTTTGGACCCTTTTGACCTCAATATGAACCAATTTGATAGCAGGCCCACAAATAAAAAATCTAAATACATGGTAAGATTCAGCATATCAAAGAACCCCATATATTCAATTTTTGTTGAAATCAAACAAAGTTTAATTTTGGACCCCAATTTGGACCAACTTGAAAACTGGGCCAAAAATCTAAAATCTAAATACATGTTTAGATTCAGCATATCAAAGAACCCCATATATTCAATTTTTGTTGAAATCAAACAAAGTTTAATTTTGGACCCCAACTTGGACCAACTTGAAAACTAGGCCCATAATCAAAAATCTAAACACATGTTTAGATTCAGCATATCAAAGAACCCCAAGAATTCAATGTTTGTTAAAATCAAACTAAGTTTAATTTTGGACCCTTTGGACCTTAATGTAGACCAATTTAAAAAACGGGACCCAAAATTAAAAATCTAAATACACGGTTAGATTTGGCATATCAAAGAACCCCAATAATTCAATTTTTGATGAAATCAAACAAAGTTTAATTTTGGACCCTTTTGACCTCAACATGAACCAATTTGATAGCGGGGTCCACAAATAAAAAATCTAAATACATGGTTAGATGCAACATATCAAAGAACCCCATATATTCAATTTTTGTTGAAATCAAACAAAGTTTAATTCTGGACCTCAATTTGGACCAACTTGAAAACTGGGCCAAAAATCAAAAATCTAAATACATGTTTAGATTCAGCATATCAAAGAACCCCATATATTCAATTTTTGTTAAAATCAAACAAAGTTTAATTTTGGACCCTTTGGACCTTAATGTAGACCAATTTGAAAACTGGACCCAAAATTAAAAATCTAAATACACGGTTAGATTCGGCATAACAAATAAATAAATGTGGTCAAAGATTTTACAAATCTAATGCGCCATACTGGTCGTCCTTTATAAATATGCATTTCTTTAAACATAATTTAAAAGCAGTGTAAGGGAAGTTACCAAAACATTGTATTTGGATTACCTCCCTTACACTGTTTTAAATTATCTTAATTGTTCATTAACCATTACTTTATACATAATTTAAAAGCAGTGTAAGGGAGATAATTTCAATGGTGTATTTGATTTATCTCCCTTACACTGCTTTAAATTATGTTTTGTACTAAAGTATTTGTCCATTAATGAGGACAACCTTGTTTTTCCTCCTTTTTTGCCCCTTATTCTTAAACGGTTTGAGCAATAACCCCCCAAAGCAAATCCTAACCATCCCTTTGTGGTTTGGAAACTTGTAGTATAATTTCAGAGAGATCCATACACCGTTCCACAGTTATTGTCTGGAATCTAGAAAATGCTTATTTTTGGCCCCTTTTTGGCCCCTAATTCCTTAACTGTTGGTACCATAACCCCCAAAATCAATCCCCACCTTCCTTTTGTGGTATTGAACCTTATGGTAAAATTTCATAGAGATCCATTCACTTAAACTAAAGTTAGAGTGCGAAAACTAATGCGTCTTCGGACGACGACGACGACGCCAGACAACGACGACGACGACACCAACGTCATACCAATATACGACCACAAAAATTTTTTTGCGGTCGTATAAAAATGCTTGTTTTTTTTGCCCCTTTTTGGCCCCAAAATCCTAAAGGTAAAGGGCAATTACCCCCAAACTCAAACCCAGCTTTCACTTTGTGATATGGAACCTTATAGTAAAATTTCATAAAGATCCATACACTTACACACAAGTTATTGTCCTGAAACTAGAAAAATGCTTGTTTTTTTCCCCTTTTTGGCCCCTTATTCCTAAAATTTTGAGGCAATTACCCCCAAAATCAATCCCAGCCTTCCCTTTGTGGTATGGTACCTTGCAGTACAATTTCAGAGAGATCCATACACTTAAACACAAGTTACATGTATTGTCTGGAAACTAGAAAAATGCTTATTTTTGGCCCCTTTTTGGCCCCTAATTCCTAAACGTTTTGGGCAATTACCCCCAAACTCAATTTCAGCTTTTCCTTTGTGATATGGAACCTTGTAGTACAATTTCAGAAAGATCCATACACTTACACACAAGTTATTGTCATGAAACTAGAAAAATGCTTGTTTTTTGCCCCTTTTTTGGCTATTCCTAAAATTTTGAGGCAATTACCCCCAAAATCAATCCCAGCATTCCCTTTGTGATATGGAACCTTGTGGTACAATGTCAGAGAGATCCATACACTAACACACAAGTTATGTCCGGAAGTTACAAAAATGCTTACTTTTGGCCCCTTTTTGGCACCTTATTCCTTAACTGTTGGTACCATAACCCCCAAAATCAATCCCAACCTTCCTTTTGTGGTATTGAACCTTATGGTAAAATTTCATAGAGATCCATTCACTTAAACTAAAGTTAGAGTGCAAAAACCAATGTGTCTTCGGACGACAATGACAACGATGCCAGCGTCATACAAATATACGACCGCAAAATTTTTTTGCGGTCGTATAAAAACGATTTTACTCAACAGGGAAGAAATGTCAGTCAAAACTATACAAACATAAATTTAACAATTAAAGACGCATACCCTTTTGGTGCCTATAACAGAAGGACGCTGAAGGGAGAAGGGAAACCTAACCTGATATAAAACCAAGATTTACCAGTACATGTACAGTTTTAATTGACATGTAAGACAAGCATTCTGTGAGTATTGCATGGCAATACATAGTCCCCTACTGGTTACAAATTCATTGTAATGGAACAAAATTCTAACTTGATCTATAACTTGTCAAGGTGTAAACTACATAAAAATATCAAGTCAAAATCTTCAAGCATGATGAAAAAATCTGTTGAAAACTGATTATTTAAGTGAATTTTCTATGTCCAAAGATCATAACTCCGCACAAAATTATCAGACTGGAACAAAATTCCAACTTGATCTGTAACTTGTTATGATAAAACTATATAATAATTATCAAATCAATATCTTCAAGAATGACAAACAAACCTACCACTAAATTCTTCAAACAATTTACCAAAGAAAAGGAAAAAAATCCAAAATGTCATTTTGTCTTTTAAAAAATGAGTTATTTGCCTTTGTACAGAAATCTACTTATTAATAAGTATTTCATCAAAAATTTAATTCTAGGGAAAGGGCTTTAACTGAACAAAGAGAAAAGCTAAAATCGTGAAAATTGAACTTGACCTGTAACTTGTCATGATAAATCAATAAACCAAATATCAAATCAATATCTTCAAGCACGAAGAAAAAATGTCTGGAAAACTGATTTGCCGGACTGACAGATGGACAGACAGACAGACAGACAGACGGATGGAGTGTTAACCTAAAGTCACCTTCGACTTCATCGGTAGGGGACTAATTAATTAAAGCACATGATGGCAGTGAATTGAAAACATGCAAGTTTGGAAATAATTTTGCATTAGATAATGACCATTTCAGTGCCTTCATTTCATCTCAAAGATGCGAGATTTTGCGTCCATAGATGAGTCTATTTTCATTTAGCATGCCTATATCTTTTTGAATAGTCTGGATGTTTATGTTCTTTAAAACCCCATGAAAAATACAGCATGGATGAATGCATTCTTGTATTGTTTGTATTGAAAATTGAAATTTTTCACTAGTAAATGTTTTTTGTTGTAGTTAAAATTTATTTATTAATAATACATTAAATGTACCATTGTTATAAGATAGTTTTTATTTCAGATATCTATATCTAAAACTGTCACCTGCTGTACATCACAAAATAATAATCAAATGTATGTTTGAACATCAACGATGACATTTTCATCCAATCGGAGAACAGATCAGGGAGAACTCCATAGTGTAGCATCATCAGATCAATAGGGGACAATTCAAAACTATTACCGACTATGTTGGAATAAATAAATGGGGAATGTGTCCATGGGACACAGATGATGCACCTGCTTGCATATTATATAAAGTTATAAAGGGACATAACTCTAGAACAGTAAAAGTGACACCACCAAAATTCAAACTTGATCTGTAGTTTGTGGTAATAAGCATTGTGTATAAGTTTCATAACATTTGGTTGAGGCAAACTTAAGTTAGAGAACGGAAACAAAAAATTCAGCAATTTTTCCATTTGTAAACGGGCATTACTCTTGAACTGTTAAAGTGACACCACCAAAATTCAAATTGATCTGTATTTTGTGGTAATAAGCATTGTGTATAAGTTTCATAACATTTGGTTGAGGCAAACTAAAGTTAGAGGACGGAAACAAAAATTCAGCAACTTTTCAATTTGTAAAGGGGCATTACTCTAGAACTGTTATATTGACGCCACCAAAATTCAAACTTGATCTGTGTTTTGTGATAATAATGCAGACATCAGATTGCTAATGTCCTAGACATTGCTGATATAGACCTTTGATATACATTTCATAAAAATCAGGGAAAAAATGTACACTTGAGAGCACTTACAATGCCATTCCCATTAGCATTTACACATGGACGGATGTCTGACCAGTATTTCTATGTCCACAGCATCGCCTTGCGCAAGGGACAAAAATATATTATCAAGTTAACACTTGTAGATTCCATAGAATATTAGCCACTGGTAAAATAATTTGTGGGAATTCAAAGTGCAGTCTATATAAAATGTATATTGCAGACCCAGAATTTGGGAAGCAAGTTTCAGTCTGGAAATCCTAATAGATCCTTGTCAACAGATAATTTGAAAACCACTCATTTCATCATTCATTTTTCTCCTTAAGGGGGTACCTAACACTTTGACTAAAATAGATTTGGCTCGTTTGATTTTCATATTTTTTTTTTAAATATTTACTTCGACTTGTTGCCAAAAATATCAAAATTTCTAGAAATTTGAACCACACAATTTACAGGAATAATTCCATTTGATATATAGCAGTTTAACAAACACTAATTTTGAAGCTTGATTTCTCTTTACTAATATTGATTAAAACCTTCGGCTGATATTTTAAAAGAGTTAACTCCCATAGGTGTTCTGTACCCCCTTGAATATGTACCTTTTATATAGTATTATTTACATATTCAATCCCATAGAATGAACATTACCTGCAGTTGCTATTCTTTCTTTTTCTATATTTTCAGCAATCTGTGTTCTAGTCATTTTGTCTACTGTAGCTGGCTTTTTTACTTTTATTGATTCCATTTCTTCATCATGAAGTTTCTGTAATTCTTTCTTCTTTTCCAATTGTTCTACTCTTTTCTTCTCTTTGTCTTCCTATAAGAAAAATAGATTTAACCATCAGAAATTTTTTTTGTGTAATCACGATCATGCAGACATAATGAAAATCTAATTCATGGTGCTTCTTTTACTTAACAACATAATACTGTCAAAAGAAAATGACCTTTAGCTTTCCAATATCTGTAATCACTTATGCATACTATTCATTTTTATGACATTGGATATTGATTTGCTGCCTCAATGCTATTTTACCTCCATTTTTTTTCTTTTATATTTTTGTATCCTTTCAACTGATAGAGTGATTCCCATCATTCTTACAAATGTAGTTGCCACTTGTTTTTTAACTCTATTTCTCCCTCAATATTTTCATATCATTTTAACATTAAAAGTTATTCCCACTTTTCTTTGTTGCTGCCTCATTGATTTTTACCTCCCTTGTTTTATTCATATTTTTATATCATTTCAATAGATGAGGTGAAAGTCCCACCTTTCTTTGTTGCTTTTTGGCAACATGTTTATCATCATCTCTCCAATATTCGTCTTCTTTTTCCTTTTCTTTTCTAGCATTATCAGTTTCCCTCTGTTCTTGCTTTCTTGCTTTTGCCACAGCAGCCTTTGAGTTTTCTCCTTTAAATTTCTTTGGCATTCTTTCAACTAGAAATTTATTTATATTTACAGATATCTGAAAATAAAAACTTGCATATATCTAAATTCATTCCCATATATATTATTTGTAATTTAATATATGCACTTGACAGCAAGTCAAACAGTTACCTGTATTATATTAAAGCAGTTTGAAATGTGCCCCTTGATTTTTTGCAACACATATCAGGTACTTTTAAATCATTCTTTTTTTTACAAAGGGAACAAGCAACAATAAAGAATTTTAAACTAAACAAAGATGATGCCCTAGCTGGTTTAGTAACAACTACATGTATTTTGAAAGAAAACTTGAGATGGTTGTGTTTGTTTTTTTACCATAAAAAAGATTCTAGCTTGAATCTGGACAAACCATGTACCCTGTAGGTCTAATTTCACCAAAACTGACTGTGTGCACACCTTTTAGTGTATATGTACTAACACCCAACAATATATTAAAGTTCTAGCTTGATACCATAGGAAGATTAAACCAGAAAAACCATGTACTTTATGTTCTTTATACTACTAAACAATGACAAAAGTTCAAATTCAAAAACCCATCATTTTTGGAAATTAAATCAAAATCCTGATCAAATGCACACCTTTAGAATATATGTACTAACACCCTTCATTAAGATAAAATTGAGAATGGAAATGGGGAATATGTCAAAGAGACAACAACCCGACTGAAGAGCAGAAAACAGCCCAAGGCCACCAATGGGTCTTCAACACAGCGAGAAAATCCCGCACTCGGAGGCAGGCTTCAGCTGGCCCCTAAACAAAAATGTGTACTAGTTCAGTGAAAATGGACGTCACACTTAACTCCGAAACATATAATAGAACTAAAATTTAAAAAACATACAAGACTAACAAAGGCCAAAGGCTCCCGACTTGAGACAGGCGCAAAAATGCGGCAGGGTTAAACATGTTTTGTGAGATCTCAACCCTCCCCATATACCTCTAGCCAATGTAGAATAAACAAACACACAGCAATACGCACAGTAAAACTCAGTTTAAAAGAAGTCTGAGTCCAATGTCATAATAGGTAACAGAAGAAACTAAGCAAAATGACAATGATACATAAATTAACACAGGACTACTAGCAGTTACTGACATGCCAGCTTCAGACCTCAATTAAACTGATTGAAAGATTATGTCCTCATCATATGAAAATCAAGCACAATCCCTCTTGTTAGGGGTTAAGTATCATACCGTCATAAAATATATGAGAAGAACATAACCCGTACCATGCCAACAACTGGTTTTAGAATAAATGTGTTTATTTTTCCGATGCAAAGACCCTATGGGTGATTCAATATTAATTCCAAAATACGCTGTCTTTAATGACCTGACAGTATCGTAACTATATCCCTTCTGAATAAGTCTGTTTAAAGGTTTGGTTAGCTTTTGAGGTGAATGACGATATTTTTGTGCTTTGTATAGAATATTACCATAAAATAGGATGTGAAATACCTGAACTTATAAGATGTCTGCATGTTGATTTATATTTACGAATGATGTCCTTGTACCAATGATAAAATTTAGCCATTTTTGCTTACAATGTATTAACTGCCAGTCAGGGGTACTACTTGTACAAGTTATTTTTATTTACTTGAAGCAGTAAATATTAATATACTTATAGAAGTAAATGTGTAAGATACTTATACAAGTAGATAGATATAAGAAGATGTGGTATGAGTGCCAATGAGACAACTTTCCATCCAAGTCACAATTTGTAATTTTTACTTGTACAAGTAAAAAAGTCTTTTTATCTTCTTTTCTTGAATTTCTCAGGACTTCTTTGCTCTAATAGAATTTTTAATTGTCTATCCTTTGCAGATGTCTTTACTAATCATTTAAGTGTAATTTCATGGACAATGAAAATCTCATTTGTCTGTTATCTTCAAAACACTGCTCATTTACAAGCCTCCAAGGGGCAATTAGTTTCTTTGTTGAATTAATGAGATGAAACGTTGAACTCTAATAAAAAATTATGAGCCAACCAGAGAAAAATTGTTTAAGGCATGTTTTTACATCCCAAATCTTGAGAATTTTAGGGAAATTACTTACACAAGTAAATTTTTTGAGATATTTAAGAGGAGATTATTTAAACCTTAAAATAAAATATGAATATATATCATGTATATAACAAATTTACTTATATAAGTATATTATTATTTACTTCTTCGAGGAAATAAAAATAACTTGTACAAGTAGTACCCATGACTGACTGCAGGAGGAGTTAGCCGGACAAACCATTTACCCTATGGGGATAGAAGGAAGGATGCATGGGTAAAACTATATGCAGGGTTGGCAATGTATTACCTGGCTCTGCCTGTTGTAACATTCTGCTAACACTGCTTCATGTCTATCTTTATTAAAAAAGTCTATTCATATATAATTATACTTACCTTTCATTTCATATAATGATTGGAAACAGATATTAACAAAAATAATTATTGGATCAAAACGACCAAGTCCAAACTAGTGTGTGGCTGAAAAAACATACAGCAGAACTCAACAGATTCATGGTCGAAACTAGTCCAGATAATCATGCCGTCTGCTGTGTGTATTTTTCGATTTTGACTTTTTTTGATCCCACATTGACAGCAAAAATTTAAAATAGCCTTCCTAGACGTCATAATTATTTGAACTAGGTCGAAACATCAGAAAGCGTGAGATCTTTGAATAAAGTGAAACTATAATGATTAGATTCTATATTTTAATCAGATTGTTGAACAATCGACTCTTACTGTGAAGTAAGAACATAAGCATTGTGGTATTGGGAATATAGGAAAATGTGAAAGTTGTCTTCGGTTGTCTCATCATACCCAAAATATACAGATAATGAGATATGTATCATGTTCACTTGTGTTAGATATATTTGAAGATTAATTATACTGTAAATATTATGAATATGAATTTTGGTTATGTAATTATGATGTTGTACCTTGTTTTAAACGTTTATATCAGTTGTAAGTGCAAGGAATCTGGCTCAACTAAAGCAGGCCTTAAAATTTGGTTATTGACAGTTGTTGTGCAATTTCATTGTAAAAAGAGAATTTAACATTTAACTTTCGTTTTGATCATTTCTAAGGTGAGTAAAAAATTACAACATCAATAATTTACCTGTATCTAAATTTCATATTGTACGATCTGCTTAAACTTAATGAAAATAAGAAATATATATCTTGTTGTAAGTTTCGTTTTGTTCAATATAAACTTATTCTAGAAAATTAAATATGGACGATGAAAATAAGAAAATAGAAAATGAGAATGAATTAAATGAGAATTTGGCCTCAAATGACAACGACAGTTCGCAGAATTGTGCAGTTGAACGCAAAATAACTCAAACTGACCATCTTAATAAACAATTGTTAAATGCATTCCTTGAAAGATTAAACACGAAGACAGAAAATGTACAGTGCAAGGAAGGGGAGACAACTGATGTTGAATGGGTGGAAAACACAACAGATGAAACAGATGAAATTACCTGTAGTAAGAAGCAAATGTCAGGGTATTCACTTCATACTAATTCTTGATATGAGACAGGTGTTTTGGGGATTCTGTGTCCTGAATGAATATTGGTTTTGGCAGCAGCCAGAAAGTTGAGAAACCCTTATCAGGTTGGGCTCAAGTCAGGAAAAGTGGGGTATTCCCTGTTTTCAGGGACCATCCCAGTTTACAGGGACTTCCTTTTTCTATTTCAATTCATGGCATGAAATTTACAAAAGCGCATGTTTTAACTGTATCAGTAGTATTTGTTAATACTTGAAGTATCTCAGGAACAACAAAACATGAATAAGTGAAGCCTTGTTTTTTCTAGAACTCAAAAACATACAAATCTTTTGTTTAGGAATCAGTTGATCAAGCTGCATGCTCCAGGTGTAACTGATCATAACTGAATTATGTTCACTTCTATTGAAATTTTCTATTCATTGAATTTAAATGCCTAAGTGATTAACTTATCTTTTTGTCTTCTCATAATTGATGATCAAGGTATGAATTGGTGAACAAAGGAATTGTTTTGTTGTGAGTTGAGCATCAAATAAGACTTGAAATTAGCTTGATTTTTGAACTTATAAAAACACTTGCTATCATATAACATTGTTATCACATGTAGAAGGTGCGCTTTTGTAGATTTCATACCATAAATTGACGAGGAAAAAAGAAGTCCGTGTTTACTGGGGTTTTTTAACACCAGAAAACTGGGGTGTTCCCTGAAAACAAGGAATACCCCAGTTTTCCTGACTTGAGCCCAACCTGCTTATGGCCCGAGAACACAGTTATTTCGTAGTGCATTTCTTTTAGACAATAAATTCAAATTAAAAAAATCGCACCTGCTCTATCTCAAAAAGATTTTTACAGTGTAGTGTACTACTATTGATACAAATAATATCAAAATTATAGAAACTTCTACCAGCTCTAACTCAAAATATTGACAATTCTGTGTTAAGGGGGGCTAAAATTCAGTTTGACAGCTTCAGACATTCTAATTTTTGACCTTTTTTAACTGGACCAAATCACTACTTAACATAAAGATTCAGCACCCAAATTTTTTTAACATGTAATTTCATCCCCTTACTTAATATTTCATGCATAAAATATCAAGAAATAAATTGGGAAAGTGTATCAAAAAAAAATGCAAGTTATACACTGTATACTAGGGACTATATTCGTAGACAACGAAAACCAAAGGACGATAACTGTGTCCTTGGGCCTTATCAAGCCCTATAGATGACTTTTGAATTCATGCACTTTCCTGTAAATTTCATATGTCACAATGCTTACATGAATGATATTACATCACACCAAGAACCAATTGTTTGATGACATTGTTTATGCCACTTGAAATCGGGTCAACCGTTGTTTCTCATTCATAAAACAACTTGAGATTGGTGTCTAAACATTTTAACATACATGTGTATATGTCTAGAAATGTATATCTAACTGTATTGTAAAGGCATGTTTTGACCTCCCCAAACTTGAGAATTCAAGGGTTTGTAAAAAAAAATTACTTGTATAAGTAAATTTTTGGAGAAAATTAAGGTGAGATTATTCAAACCTGGAAAATAAGATAAAAATCTTACAAATTTACAAGATTTAAAAAATGACTTGTATAAGTATTACCCCTGACTGTATATATATATATGCTGATTTTCAATAGAAACAAACTATAATATTTTTTCTTCTCTTTTGATTTATATTTTCAAGAAGTTTAGTATAAAATGATTGATTAAAATAAAAGTAATACCCTTTCTCTCCCCCCCCCCCCCCAAACACACACACATAAAATAATAGATTGATGCCTAATGGCCTTACAAAAATAGCTACATGTATGTAGGCACCAAATGGATGCAGACATTAATGCAAAAGATACTTATTTTGTGGTTAAAGTTAACTCTGATAAGCAGGGCTCAACATTAATGCTTGTCCGATTGTCCAGTACCAGAGGAAAAAAAGGTTGGACAAGTAAAAGCCATATCAAGCTTGTCCAACGTGACAAGTAAAATCATTCTGTAGAAAATAAATTAAATCCAACTTTGATGATCAAAGTAATAAACAAAAAACATGAAAAGAAGATAAAAAAAAATGTTAATTTGACATGTTTACTTGCGATCCATAATCTAAAACTGGTTCTTTGTCAGATACTTTATAAACCAGTATTACCGATCATAAGGAAACAACCCTCCATGTTTAATAGACAGTTTGGCACCCTAGGAGACATTTCGGGACCAAGACAAACCACAGGGACTCCGTTTGCAGATTAAATATTGTTTATCAATGTTTTTCAAATCTTTTTTTTCTTTATTAACGTTTAACATTGGTATCAATATTTCTTTGTTTTCTAGCAATGTGCAGTTTACTATCCATATCCGTATACTGAAAAATTTGGAAAGTTAACTGCAAATTGCTAGAAAACAAAGCAATATTGATGCCAACATTTAAAACGTTAATAAAGTAATTTTAATACAAATAGATAGGAAATACGAAAAACAGATTTGAAAAACATTGATAAACAAAATAATAATCTGCTAACTGAGTCCCTGTGAGACAAACCAGTACCTCATTTCCCTACCTTATTCCATTGCTTTATAATAAGTATGATAAATTTTATTCAACAAAAATATTTTAAAAATAAAGATGAAGAAATTATTGACCATAAAATTCATAAAATCATATTTGATCATATGAAGACAAAACAATACTTGATTGTGTTTGAAAAAACATTTTAATATATTAAAACAAAGCTGATTGAAGTAAGGTATTAATCAAATAATCAATATTTTATCAATATAAAAGACCAGGATACAAACCAAATGAGTGTACTAGACTGATAGGCCTACCAGACTGTGCCTCTTGTGCAGAGTCTAATGAGACTTCAGCATTAATGAACACTAGAACCTAAATCCTGTGACATGACTAGATTCAGTTGTTCTCGACTCATATATTTTTGAAAAGGATATCAAGAGATATAAATCAAATTCTGTTCTGTTGTTTTAATTCATTTTGTTCATTGAATCATCTTAAAATGCAAAAAAGGGTAATATTAAGAATTTTTTTTTTAAGTTACAATTCCATTCGGACAAGTAAGTTTTGGTATGTACTTGTCCTATTGGACAAGTTGAAAAAAAAGTTATTGTAGAGGCCTGATAAGTACATTGTAGAAGGACCTGTTTTACTAAGTTAGACAATACAGATATAAAAAGACCATTGATCAATTATGGATATGATTAGAATTACTGCAAGTAGTGTCTTTTGGGAATTAATTACATAACGTGTCTGTAATGCTAAGTATATAGATGATAGGTAAGCATGTATTTTTTTTTACTTCACTCATGATCAAGACTTTATACATGTAGATTAAACTTATTGTATCATGATTTTTTTTGCAGGTCTTGAAAATGGAATGAAGCTGAAAAATGTTTTTATTATTGGCATCTCAGGGTAAGTTGAACAAGATTTGATTAAGATTTTAAAATGTGTATGAAAAAAATGACATACAAGTTGTTGGGTAAAAATAATGAGGGAAGTAAGCTAACAACACAAATTAACCTTTTAAACTCACTTCACAAAAACCTTTTTGACTTACAAGCCCGAAAAATCAGTCTTTCTTAAAAGTTATTTAAATTTATATATATTATGAGGCCTCTTTCAGGGAAATTTCCCTGAACCAACAACATTTTCACTGGCCTCAGCCATTGGGCTTTGGTAAATTTTGAAGACGGTAACAAAGAAAATATTCAAAATGGTTTAGAGATTACAATATTTTGAGTGTTATTGTTTGGTTTTATTGTATTATTGGGTTGCTGTAATGTATATATATACTCCAACATCTCTGGAATTCTGAGACAGTTAAAATTCAAATAATATATGGAAAATCGCATTTGTAAAATATGTGCATCATAAATCTAGATATTTTGGACATGGTCAATATATACACAAATGTACATGTATTTGGCACTTTTGATAAAAATGTCAAAATTAAAAAAAACAATTTTAAACTAAAATACAATGTATGCATCAACAGAAAGAAGACAAAAGTTCCAGTAAATAGGTATCAATTCAGGTTTTTTTTCTCAAGCAGATTTAAGAAATTAAAAAGAAAATTTCTTCCACTTGTATTTGTAGTATTTGTATTTTTATCCATCTGATGAGTTAAGCCTCTTTCAACTGATTTTTGTCGAGCCTTCGACTTTAGTCGAAAAAATGAGACATAGCGATCCTACATTCTGTCGGTGTCGGCGGCGTCCACTAATATTCACTCTGTGGTTATTTTTTAAGTTTTTGAAATTTTAATAACTTTCTTAAACTATCCTGGATTTCTACCAAACTTGGACAGAAGCTTGTTTATGATCATAAGATAGTATCCAGAAGTAAATTTTGTAAAAATGCAATTCCTGTTTTTCCGTATTTTACTTGTAAATGGACTTAGTTTTTCTGCCAGGAAACATTACATTCACTCTGTGGTTAAAGTTTTTAAAATTTTAATAAATTTCTTAAACTATCCTGGATTTGTACCAAACTTGGACAGAAGCTGGTTTATGATCATAAGATAGTATCCAGAAGTAAATTTGTTAAAAAAAAAATTTCATTTTTTCCGTATTTTACTTATAAATGGACTTAGTTTTTCTGCCAGGAAACAATACATTCACTCTGAAATTTTAATAACTTTCTTAAACTATCCTGGATTTGTACCAAACTTGAACAGAAGCTTGTTTATGATCAAAAGCTAGTATCTAGAAGGAAATTTTGTTCAAATTTTGTACCTGTTTATCCGTATTTTATTTATAAATGGACTTAGTTTTTCTTCCAGTTAACATTAAACACAGTCTGCAGTTAAAGTTTTTAAAACATTTATTAGATTCATAAACTATCCTGGACTTATACCAAACTTTGACAGAAGCTTCTTACAATCAAAAGATAGTATCTAAAGGAATATTTTTATTGATTTTTTTCCTCATTTTTGTTGAGCCTGCAATTAACAGCAAAAGTAAGCGAGACACTGGGTTCCATGGAACCCTTACGAATTTTTATAGTTCGTTCTTATTTTGTACTGTTACACCACTGTCCCAGGTTAGGGGGAGGGATGGGATCATGCTAACATGTTTGACCCGGCCACATTCTGTATGTATGTGCCTGTCCCCAGTCAGGAGCCTGTAATTCAGTGGTTGTCGTTTGTTTATGTGTTACTTATTTGTTTTTCGTTCATTTTTAACCGGATTTTCGAAGGAAATATCGGTTATTAAAATGGTGATATACGGCGGGCGGCTGGGCGGTTTGGCGGCTGCCAAACAGTGTCAGCACAATAACATGAAAACGCTTTAACAATTTTTTTTCAAATTTAAATATGTTGTTTCCTGGGACTTAATGAAGGTCTCTATTAATTTTCAAGATTTTAGTATATCTCCTTTGTGAGTTATCACCATTTTTAATATCCAAAAGAAGAATTTTTAAGTATTTTACTGTTGTTATTATGTTATGATTTGTCTTATCTCAGAATAAAAATTGGAGTGACAGATTTATTTGAAAATTATCTATTTCCTAAGTGGTAATAATTATAAGCTATATCATTAGACATTTTGAAGATTATTACATTATTAATTATGTTAGAGTACTATGTTAAACAACCATAGTTCTGTTCAATTAGATATTATAAATATTTCAGCATATGATAATGATTTATTTTCATTATTAATTAGATCTTGGAAATATTTTAGCATATGATAATCATTGGAGTGACAGATTTATTTGAAAATTTTCTGTTTTCTGATAAGATCTGTAGGACTGTATATATACAGTTTGAAACTTACTAGTATTACTGTATAAATGAAGTTTGGAATTTACTGTTCATTATTAGACATTTTGTAGATAATTAAGTGTCTGTTAATCATATATATTCTTACCCCTCCCCTTCAATTTGATAATGTGCTTTTATCTTGTAAACGGTTGAGATCCCTACTCCTAAACCATATATATTCTTGTATGGGACAATAAAACAAATCAAATGAAATATTGGGATAGTCCTTGGGTTCACAGCTACCCTCCTATTTTAGCTCACCGGGGCCCAAAGGGCCCCATGTGAGCTTATGCCATCACTTGGCGTCCGTCGTCGTCTGTCGTCTGTCGTCGTAAACTATTTCAAAAATCTTCTCTGAAACTACTGGGCCAAATACCTTCAAACTTTAACTAAATGTTCCTTAGGGTATCTAGTTTATAAATTGTATCCGAAGTTTGTATCCATCGACAAACATGGCTGCCATGGCTAAAAATAGAACATAAGGGTCAAATGCAGTTTTTGCCTTATATCTCAAAAACTAAATCTTTTAGAGCAAATCTGACATGGGATAAAATTGTTTAATTTGTCAAGATCTATCGGCCCTGAAATTTTCAGATGAATCGAACAACCCATTGTTGGGTTGCTGCCACCGAATTGGTAGTTTTAACAAAATTTTGCAGTTTTTTGTTATTATTTTGAATATTATTATAGATATATATAAACTGTAAGCAGCAATAATGTTCAGCAAAGTAAGATCTACAAAAAAGTTAATATGACCATAATTGTCAATTGACCCCTTAAGGAGTTATTGCCCTTTAAAGACAATTTTACACAATTTGTTCATCAAGTTTGCTAACATTTAAAAATCTTAGTTTGTATCCATCGACAAACATGGCTGCCATGGCTAAAAATAGAACATAAGGGTCAAATGCAGTTTTTGGCTTATATCTCAAAAACTAAATCTTTTAGAGCAAATGTGACATGGGGTAAAATTGTTAAATTGGTCAAGATCTATCGGCCCTGAAATTATCAGACGAATCGAACAACCCATTGTTGGGTTGCTGCCACCGAATTGGTAGTTTTAACAAAATTTTGCAGTTTTTTGTTATTATTTAGAATATTATTATAGATATATATAAACTGTAAGCAGCAATAATGTTCAGCAAAGTAAGATCTACAAAAAAGTTAATATGACCAAAATTGTCAATTGACCCCTTAAGGAGTTATTGCCCTTTAAAGACAATTTTACACAATTTGTTCATCAAGTTTGCCAACATTTAAAAATCTTCTCCTCTGAAATACAGGTGAGCGATTCAGGCTCTTGAGAGCCATTTGTTTTGAAAACTTGTAAATGTGCAAGCTTCCCACCCTGAAACCATATATTTTCTTGTATGTTACAAATCAAATGAAATAAAAGGTGAGTCCCCTGGGGTCACCCCAGCGTGACTGTTTGAGAACTTGTAAACGGTCGAGATCCCCACCCCTAAACCATATATATTTTTGAATGGGACAATAAAAGAAATCAAATGAAATATAGGGGAAGTCCATTGTGGTAACCCCCACCCCTAAACCATATTTATTCTTGTATTTGACAATAAAACAAATCAAATAAAATTTAGGGGAAGTCCACAAGGGTAAACCCCACCCCCTTCTTTTTGAAAACTTGTAAACAGTCAAGATCCCCACCCTGAAACCATTTTTCTTCTTGTATATTACAATAAAACAAATCAAATGAAATAAAAGTTGAGTCCCCTGGGGTCACCCCACCTTTTTCCTGTTTAAGAACTTGTAAACGGTTAAGATCCCTCACCCCTAAACCATATACCGTATAGCGGGTTATTTTCGAGGGGTGTTTATTTTCGCTTATTTTGGCGGGTAAGGGGAAATCGCATAATTAAATTCCGCGAAAATTTATGCATACGTTCGGTACTTTCTAATAGCTAAAGCGTTTTATAGACTATCTATTTTTCCCGTTCGTCGAATCAATAATGGTTTATGTTAATTTAACCAACATAAATGCGAAAGGCCATTGTTCCCAGGCTGTCTGGTGTTAATTAGTTAATTGGTTGCATAATAAAATAATTAATAATATTAGAGTGTAAGGTACTCTGTCAGGTATTTTATCCTTATTAATTATTGTCAAATTATATAAGAGTCGCAAGTCACTCATGATCATTTTATGATCTAATTAGTACATCAAAGGTCCGTCAATTTCGTAACTAATCAACCGTAACATTTACCAGAGGTTTGTACACCTATGACAAATATCTAAGTACTGGTATTCTATTGATTAACTGTATCAAAATATAATCAATAAATATAAAGACGTGATGCAGGTAAAACAATCATTTAACCATAACAATAGATATTTTTTTATTATAGATCAATATGTGACACTTAAATAAACTATTATTTATCTTATCTCGATCTCTTGTCAATTTCTACAACTTTTTAACTGCAACCATTTCAGTATCCGCCAAAATATTTAATAAGGATTAAAGAATCCGCCAAAATTTTTCGTATACTTTGTTGCCCCTAAATCGCGAAATTTTACACCCGCGAAAATAACCCGCTATACGGTATATTCTTGTATGGGACAATAAAACAACTCAAATGTTATATAGGGGAAGTCCATTGGGGTAACCCCCACCCCCTTCTTTTTGATAGC